GCCGGGGGGCGGTGCATCCCCGCGCCCCGCCGCCTCCCTGCCGGCTGCATCCGGGGCCGAGCCCCAAACCCGCAGTGACCTGCTCCTGGGCTGTGCGTCGGTGGAGAGCTATCAGACCTGCACTAACCCACTGGAACAAAAACCTTTTTTCCAACACGAATGTATTTCTACTCTTGAACTAAGTTCGTCATTAGTTTCAGCAGTTCTCACTGATGTGTCCACCGCCCTGATGTACTCGCAGCATGCGTGGGCTCTGCCTTCTTTACTAAGGGAAGTCTCCTCATGGAACACAAGCAGAATGCAATTACCTGTTCACTTTGGCACACCCTCCCCCCCTTTTTTTTCCCCTCCCTGCTCTTAAGACATATTTCTTGAGCATGGTTGTTGAAATGCACACAAAATACCTCAGCTGCTGTCTCACCAAGGCCTCCTATAATGGCATGGATATCTCTTCCCTCTGCTGGTAATACCTCAACAAACTGGGCCTAGGATTTAATTAGGTGGCAGCTATATCATGCTGCCACCTTACACTCAAACTCAATCAGATCAGTCACATAGGATTGATCTGCAATGACCAGAGCTGGGTCCTGAAGACACCTTGTTTTCCTGCAGGCTCTTCCCACCACACACAAATACCAAGCAACAACTGCCGGATGCACGCGCCACTCCTTGCTGCCAAAGCCAAAGGTGGCAACTGGCTGCGCCTCAGTCCAGCAGCCAGCGCTTCCCATCGCCGCCAGGAAACGGTGATGTGCTAAATGAAAGTTCAGCGTGATCCCATTTCTGCTGATACGTCCAAATCTGTCTTCTCCACTGCTGAGCGCCCAGCTTCTAGCAGAAATTCTTGTAGTCTCCAAGAACACAGCCTGCTGCTCTGCACCACTGAACATTATTCCATTTCCGTGACCCCAGCACAGAGTCATCCAATTCCTCCTGTACAACAGCCTCATTCGCCTCTTCTGGTGATGAGGCTTCCCAACTCGGTGTCATCAGCAAATTCAATTAGCAAATGCCTCTTTTTTGTGCCAGGGTCATTAATGTAAATATAAAACAAAAGTTAGACTCTACTTTTGAGGAAATCCATAAATGATTTGTTAGTTGACTGATACTTTTTCTTTCAGTAGCACTTGTTTACATTCCCCTTGCTGCCTAATTCCCCGCCACCTTACAATTCTTCTACACCACACACTCACTAGATTGCCACTGCCCATGTGGCATCCAGGTAGATGAATTTCTTTCTCTAAGAGTTTAACTAGAACTCTAAAGAAAAGTGCTGGCAAAGGTAACAACACCTTTGCTTAAGAAACCATATTTCACTTTATTCCACTTTCCTGATAGTCCCAAGTCTTTCACTTTTCATCCATTCTAAATTTGTTGTAAAACTTCGCATACTGTTCAGGTAACATTAACAACTCCAACTGTCTGGATCACTTTTCCTTTCCCCTTCTACATGCAGGTATGCCAACACAACTCACCATTCACATGAGACAACAGCAGACCCAATAAATTTGACTGGAAATCTCTGCTCCCAACCCTGCAATTTCACCTACCGGTTCTTTCAGCATTCTCGGATAGAGATTATGCAGCCTTCCAGTCCCAATGAATGGAGGTCTATACCTCCACCTAAATACAACTACCTCACCTCACATCCATATTCCTGTAATCTACCTTGCCTTGTTTCTGATGATGCACATCAGAATAATCAAGCAAAAAAATTTAATTTTTTTAAGTCATATCTTCATCAGTTTTAACATTCTAACACTGATATGGCAGCACAGCCCTTGGCCATTTCATATCCTTCACAGTATCTACTGTCCTTGTCCGCTGGCAATCTAAAATAACCTAAAGAGTACTCCTAAAAAAAGTGTTCTAGTGTTTAGATATGGTATTATGCAATTTCTAAAGGACAGACAGGTAGCATTCGTGCTGCCTCTTTAAGCTGAACTACTGAACAGAAGCTAAAATTCTTGGCAATGATCCAGCAGAAGGTACCTTGAGAACAAGCCTAATAATTTCCAGTGGAACTAAGGAAGAAGCACTTGAAAGCAGTATTTTAGAAAAAGGAACACGTAAATATAAGGGTTTAGTGAATAAACACCATCCGGTGGGTTGCAGTTCAAAATTATCTCTTATAGCACTACAAAAGGTCATTTTACAGGCACAGTCTGGTTAAAACTCCTTATCCCAAGATGGTTACCGTCAGAATGAAAAGATTATATGGTCTGGGGAGGAGAAACAATGAAAGAAGGCATCATGTGTCAAGTCAGACAAACATTTCTAAAACATACATACTATAGCTATATTTATCTTGAAAAATATTACCAATAAATAAGCATATTGCATTGGGATATTATAGCCAGGACAATGTACAACCTATTTACACTGCAACCAACATCTTCAGAAATGGATATGGCATCCAAGTTCATTACATGTTCTAATTAGTCCTAGCTAACCACCCAAACCCAAGAACTATGGAGCTGAAACATTATGAGGAAAGAAGTATCTGGTTACCTAGTTTGAAGCTTCAGTTTTGCCCTGTAATGTTTAACTGAACATGAAGAATTACTGAATCTGTTTAATCCAACATACTAGGCTACAGAGGTAAGCTCCTTGTAGCTTCAGTTCAGAAACTGAAGAACATAAACACTTGCAAACTAAGAAAGGATAAAACTGACAGGGAAGTTGAACCTATTTTCATGCCTGTAGATAAAATATAGAAAGTTGCATTAACTTCTCTCACTTCCCACACCTATTTCCTTCTTCCATTCAAAATCTTCTTCAAAAGAAAATCATAGATCCCATACAAAAATCGTCATACAACACGTGAGAATTTGTAATCTGGTGTGATTTTTGAATATATACCTCAGATAAAGGAAGTAAAATAACTACCAAGTAACTAGATGAAGGCGAAAACAAGAGCACATGTGATGGCATTTTTTGAAGAGTAGACATATTTTCCTTCTGCCACCTAGTGACCAATTTTTCAGATGAGTGGTGTTTAAAATGTACCATATTAAATGGAACACCTTCATGACTCTTCCTCCACCTGACAGCAGTAGTGTTGCTAATTGCATTATTCCCAGAGACAAGTATTGTACAAGTCATGTTGTTGTGGGCTCCTTATAGTAAAGCCCTATAATGCTCATCACCAGAAAGCTTTGAGAGCAGAGTTCACCCTCATTAGAGCTAAGACTTTGCAGGCTGCCTTACACAAGCACATCTGTTGAACCTGTCACACGTGATGACTCCCATTCCCCGTACAGCTGGCAGAACTGTAAATAATTTCATAGATCTTCACAAGCTTTTTATAGCTTGCAGGATGCACACTTGTTATGCTAAATCTTAGTGATCCAGGGTAGAGAGAGTTCTAAAATGATTAAACTTGATCTGTGCAGTCACTCAGTGGCACTGCTGAAAATGTGCCTGGCTCTACCTATTGATGGTAATAAGGGCTGGGATTACTTAATAATTTTCCTGTGCATCAGAAAAGCAAGTCATGATGGAAAAAGCGTATCTGAGTTCTTTCTGTGCTGTGAGGAGGCAACCTGTAATAGAAAGGCCACAAAGGGACTAACCAAATTCATTTGGAAGAAAACTGCCCTAAGTATTTTCTTATTTATCTACCAAGATCTGTACAATACTGTGGGACCCCATAGGAAGGGGCTTCTTGTATCTCTGTCTTTCAGGAAAGTGAAGCCACTTCAGTACACTCTCAACTTGTATCATTTATACCACAGATTCTGTGGGTTCCTGGCACTGACTCCGCAGTTAAATTTAAGAATGCAAGTGTCTCAGAAACAGCAATTTGCACACAGACATTTTTTTTCAGCCACAAAACAGTCCTGCCTTTGACATCACTACTTGATAGTGATAGTGAGTCACTGTTTCTCCTTTCCTTTCACGTCAGCGCTGCTTCTTTTTCATGGGTCTTCAGAAAAAAAGAATCTCCAATTTATTCTAATTTATTTCATTGTTTTTAAAACAAAGCCTTTCCAAGAAGCATCTTCCTAACCACTATAATAAATACAAAAGCCTTTTCATAAACTAAGGAAAATTAAAGTTGCTAGGAGTTTGCTTTTACTATGTCTCTCTCACATAATTTTTAAATATATAACTTAAAATAATTTGGCATACATTTACCTAGAATCAATGCATTTACAAAACTGTCCTGGTCTTCTAGCCACACCTAAATTTTACTATGGTACTGGTTCCACAGTACTGTGGAACTCCATTCCTAAGTATTAAAGTCTAGAGAAGGGCACTGGTCTCACTTTTGCACTTTTTACATGGAATTTTTTGCAAAATATCTGAATTGGATTCCTTAAAAAAAAAAAGGGGTGGGGGAGAAGGAGGAGAAGGGACTTTATGCCTGATTGACACTGACAGATTATAGTCAAGCCCATGGTCTAACTGAGATAAGAAGAAACCCCTAGCAACAGGCCACCATGCTTCCTCCCTGTCAAAAAGTCTTCTCAAATCAAGATAGAGCAGATAGTAGTACAGAACTTTACTGAATATCCCCATGATACATGCTTTGCCCATGAGGCAAGAGGAAAGCACCAAGTTTTCTTGCACAGGATTATTGTGACTTTTTTTATTATCTGTGTTAAATAACTAAAACTAAGAACGCTTCCCTTTGCCAACTGCTGCATCATAACTCCTCCCCACCACATTCTTTCCCACTTCTTACCTTGTCATCTCTTCCTCTAGCTCTGGATTCCCTTTCACGGCTGCCTGCAGACTTCTCGCCCTTGGATACCGTGTGTGCTCTGCCCGCAGGCCCGCGGGGCTGCAGCCCTGGTGATTCTTTCCTCAAAGGTTTTACTTCTCGGTTGGGACGTTTTATCTGAGGTGGAGCCCTAACAACAAGCAACCACAACAAAAGCATGCTAAAAACAGCAAAAAAAGATTAAGAAGAAAGAATTCTAATAATTCATTAATTCCCTTAGTGCATTATTGCTGACAAGTCCCTGAGTCTTATCTGCTTATATCTGCAAATCCAGCAACATTATTTGTGGCTCTGTCTGACATCCAAAGTAAGAAAAAAAAATACAAAAGGAAGAAAGTTTCAACAGTGGAAAAAAAGAAAAGTAACAATAGTATTAGATCAGTACTCCTAACCAATCTTAAAACAAACCAACACGCATATAACAAAAGAGGAAACAATTTAGTAAAAGTCTTCAAATTGTAGTTTCCTCTGACTCCAAGCCAGATTATATTAGGCTACATTCATATGCACAAGTTCTACACAATCAGATGACATTCCTGGTTAAAAAAAACACCACCAAAAAAACCCACCTGGCTAATAGCTTTGACAGGCCCCAAAACAAAGGCAGGAGAATTTTAAAACAATCCTCCTACCTCTGACTTCATTCCCCTGCATGAAAATGTCAAAACATAAATATTGCTTAGAAAGCAAAAGCAAACAGAGCCAAAGTGCAACCACCTATACTTATGTGCATCACCCACGATGTTACGGAGAACTCAGCAGTGGCACGATGAGAAAGAATTTGGTTTTAAGGTGAGGTGTCACAGTAATTTTGCTCTAGGGATTGGGCTTGAAATATAGAACAAAAAGCAACGGCCAGGAATGTCACCCAACTTTAATTAGTATCCCCTATTAAATCTGCTGCTGATTCTTGTTTTGAGTAACTCAAAATTTGCGAACTCAAAAAAACAGTTTCCTGAAATATGCCTTAAAAAACGAGTACATACTTAAATGCACTGCTGGATATAACTGTTACATTTTGCTTTGTATACATTTTCATCAAACTTAGCACAGAGGAGTGGCTACTTTTCCTTACTTATTTGCACAAGATTTAAATTTCAGCTTAAAAAACCAGATTAACTACTGGGCCTTTACCTCTAAGAAAGATGCAAGAATAAATACATCTTGCACTTCACATAACATTACCACAAAAATTCTGATAATCAATTCTACCACTCACAAAAGTAATTGGAGTTAATATTATTTTACACTCACATTCTTAAGGGTTTTTGAAAAGTGAAGATCCGTTTGCTTGATAATCATAAAGCACATAAATTTACAAATAAACTTGGCATTTCTTTCTGTTAACCAAGATCTCTTTTTACTTTGTTCCTTTGCTTATGTGAGTGTACACACATTAAAATTCCTTGCTATTAGAATGTTAGAAAAATGCTGTCATGATAAATGTTATTCTTGTTTTTAAATTGGATTTATTGTTTCCAACAACTTGTGTCAAGCTCTACTAGAGTGAAAATAGGGATTTCAGAAAATGCACCAGCATCTATTTTGAGAAAACTATTAGCTAACAAAAGTTACCTTAAAGGTGGTTACAGAAAAGAAACACCATGTACAACAAAACATGTTTAGCAATAAAAGAAACCAATGGATTAAACACTGGTCATATTATCTGTACCCAGGGAGCGATTTCTAACCACCATGTTCTTCAAGATCCTTCAGTTCCAGCTCCTTACTGACCCCTCACCCACCAATAAATTCAACTGCTTAAGTAAGCTGAAATGGAAAAGTTTTCACCCTGCACATGAAAAAGGCAACTGTCACCAAAAGCCCACCTACGTCTCCAGCAGACTCCAGTTCCAGTGACTTAGCTAGTCACTCCTACCAGAATAATGAGTGACTTTCTTTAGAACTTCAGTAATAAATCCAACTGCCGTTTAATTACTTTTTTCCCCAATGAATTATATTTATTCTTTATTACAAATGACTGAGGGGTTAATGAAATTTGATTTTCACATTACAAATGCATTCAAAAAAGAGCATAAAATTATGGCGACCCAGCTTTATTCCACCTACTCTGCTTGAGCCTCTTCTTACCTGTGTTCAGCTGGAACAGGAGGGGGCCAAACAGCAGGATCTCTAAAAGGCTCATCTTGACAGGATACAGGGATATCTGCAGGTCTGTCCATTTTAAAACTCTCTAAAGTGTTGACAATGCTCTTAACTTGTTCATATTCTTCAACTAATTCTTGCCGGACCTTGAGAAATACATATGTTATTTAAAAATTGTTACAATTCAAACTTTTTTTTAAAAAAAACAAACATAGAAAGTACCTTCAAAACATACGCTGCCTTCAAAAGCACAGACTCCCAAGCCTTTCCATTCACAAACCCCAGACATGTCAGGCTGACAATAGATCTTTAACAACAGCATAAACAATTGAATCTCTGTTGAGTTCATCTTCCTGCTTGTCAACGTCATGACCAGATATGATTGCTAACGCAGGGATCGCTCTTCCATAACATGTGCTGATGCTTAGATTTATGTGTGCATGTTGACATGTATGCACACGCACACACTTTTATACTAGTAAGGGTGCTGTTGGCAGATCTTTAGCATATTTGCTACTATTCTGGCATAAAAGAACTTCTTTGATTAGAGTCTCCAAGGTCCTAATTATAAAACTGGCTAAATCATTAAAAAATAATATTACAAAATTAACTTTGTGAGGGGCACAACATCACCATACAGTCAAAGCACAAGGCAATTCTTTGGTGGATTGCAAAGATTAGAACAGAAAATGGGAACTTTAACACCCCATAGCATAAGTTCAAATGATAAGTAAAGTAAGTAAAATAAAAATGAGATGAAATCATGTCTCAGAAAGAAATCAGGTTGCAGAATTATGCAGCTGAATTTTATACCTGATGTTTCTATTGCCACTAGTCAGGGAATTAGAACTACAGCAATAATTTCAAGATTATTTACTTGATATTTGTTCATTTCAATTTTCTTTCATGAAGCCTAAAAAAAATAAAATCTGTGTAGAAATTTGCTAAGTTTTACGTGATATGGCTTGTTAGAAGCTCAAGTTTTGTATGCTAAGGTCACTGGTTCTTAGTACACACCAGCAGCCAAAAACTATTGTACATTCTTGCTCAGAAGCATAAGCTTTCAGTGCATTAGCTTAAGATGTGCTAGGATTCGCGTGAGTGCACTTGTGCTGCGTCTTAACAGTCTTCCACCTATCACTCAATGATGCTTTCCATCCTGTGGGATCAACCTCTACACTTACTTTAGCTTTTACCTGCTCAAGGGTCGTAACCCCCAGATGTCACCTCTTCACTGAAGTGTCGGTGCACAGCTAGAACTAATTCATGCATTGCTGTGCCTGCCTGGAAATCAGTATTGGCACTCTACAGCTAGGATTACCTTAGCCCACTGCGAATCTTACCTGGTACAGGCTCAGCTGGAGCCACAGAGACATCCTGAACCTTTCCATCCACTGGAAAGGCACATAGGCTCTAAAAGCTCTTGTGAAGAATATTCACAGTGAGGATATTTGCAGGCTGCCACCAGGCACGCTACCGAGTGAGGCTACAATCAGCATACACTGTAAAGCTGATGAATCAAAAGCCAGGATCTGAAGTCAGCTTGCAAGAAAGCCAAGGAAAGATACCAGGCACCCAGCTGTGCTCATGTCATGCGTCCACGTGAAAAAGAATTGGGAAAAATACTGCCTGGGAATGCTGCAACCAGGCTTCACTTCGTGGCAAACAGAGGAAGGCAACTGAGGACAGTATCAGCAGATGTCAACGATGTTCCCTGAACTCCAGACTCTCTTTGCTGTGCAGATCCTGAGTAATATACAGGATCAGGAGAATGGAGGTCTGCAAATCCAGCCTGTCTGCTGAGGTTGTTAACAGCAGCAAATCAAGGAACAAGTACTAAACAGCATCACATCTTATGACTGTTCTTCCTAATGGTGCTTATTGGTGAAAAGATGTGGCCACTAGCCTGAGATCTTCCCATCTCCCCATGTGCTTCAAAAGGAACCGTGTTGGGCACATGCAGGGTGCTGTGTCTTGTCAGCACACTTGTAGAAGCATGCCTCTTCCAGCCTGACTTTCACCTGCTCATCCCATTTCTCTCTCAGACTCTTATTTCCCCTCTCAGAATGGCATCTTCACCCACCCCACTCTACATATTCAGAACAGCAGCAGCTACCCCCCCACTTTTGGTGGAGCAGCTTCAAGACAGAAAGCACTATCTGACATAACTGTTTGGTGGGTAAGGTGTCTCTAAGAAAGAATTACTAAATTGACAACACTCAGTAACAAACCCACAACAGATCTTTCTGGAAGCTACACTTCTCCTAAAATACTACCAGGTATATCCCACAGCAAGGTATCATTCTGCTCTGTAATATTTTCCAGGAATTCTCCCACTACAAGGAGAAATTAGGAGATTTCAAGCAGCACAAAGAAATTCTTCTCTGGTTTAAAACGCTGCTTAAGACTGTTGCCAGCAAGATACCAGTAAGGACAGAGGCAAAGTGAAGGATAAATCCCCAAGGCCCTGCATGGTTCTTGCAACACTGCATTTACTTCACCAGGAGCTCTACATGTATCTTCACAAAAGGAGCCTTAGGTCCAGGAAGAACTTGATCAGTGCAAAGCAGCCTTCTTGCTCATTCCAGATGGGGTAGCTCTATCTTTCCAAAGACACAGGGCATCCAGCTCAGGCAGGATTGCTCCTGCCCTGCTTTGCTCTCTTTGCTTTCTCATCACACAATCAGCAGACGCATCTCCCAGTGCAAGAACTTCCAGCTGAGTTACAAATGTGATTGATTACTCACTTGGTTCCTTCAAACTGTCTAACACGCATCCCTCCTGTCCAAAAATAAATCTAGCCAAACAGCTGCTGTGAGGTACAAAGGAATGATACAGCATAAATCCTCGAGGGCACTGCTCCTTGAGAGACAGCCACTTCCTACTCCAGTGCTCCAGGAATACAGATAGGATTCCTCCTATCAGCCTTCCAAAATATAAAGAAAAGTTAGTGGAGAACAACTTGCTAGCACTGAGGGCTGGAGTGCTGTCATTCAGCTCCCTGGACCAGCAAGGAGGATGGTATCTGAAAATTGAAAGAAAGTGAGCCTTTGATGCCTTGGAAGCTGAAAACAGACTAACAGCTGCTGGCCAACTCTCACCCAGACCTGAGCAAACCAAACTCCAAAATGCACACCCTTACTGCTTAGTCAGTACCTGACAAACCAACCAACAAAACCCCTTCAATGTACTCGAACAACAGGACAAAGGAAAACCAGCTGATAAATTCCTAGAGGCCTTACACTAACCAAGTTAGATGAAACAGATACAGAGTTTCTTGCAGCTGAGAAACAAATAACCCAGATGGGAGCCAAGAAGGGCTGTGCCATAATTATGGAGGTGACTGAACAGCACTGAGTGATCAGTGCTACTCTGAAGCAACCTCAGAAGGCTGCCAACAGGAAAATCACTGGTCTGGACTCACCCAGTCTCTTTGCCCCCCTGACCCCCCTCCCCTGGTCACACCCTTCCCTTAGGTGCCAGAGCCCTCAGGGGGCTCCAGCTCAGGTTGTAGAGAACCTGAAGAAAGCTTTTAGGTTATTCATGTTTAAGTCATTTTAGGAGGTAGCAGCTCACCACTGCCAAATAGATCTCCCGTCTCCTCACTTTTTCTCCCCAACCACACTCTACTGCTGCTCTTCTGGATTCACTTCTCGCATCTTGATACAGTAACCCAGCTTGGTAAAATGGCAGAAAATTAACCTAGCAGGGTAAAAAGAAAATTAAGGACACTTTTGCTGGGTTAGCAAGCTGCACTGGCTCGCTACCCTGTGATCAGGTGAATCCTAGGACTAAGAATGGCAGGGTGCAGAGGAGGGAGAGAAGCTGGTGCAGCCGGAGGGAAGACTGAGTAGGGAAGAGCCTGGCCTCCCTGGGCATGGCAGGATGTTAACTGGGTTCAGCTACCACGTGAAACTGCTTGCTCCTCAGAGCCACACTCTGGTACACCACTCACCCCTACCAGCCACATCACCTCCTCTGCAGAAGCAGCATCGTGGGCATTGGGTGATGTTGGGAAGCCTGATAAAAAGCTTTTCAGCCCAGGGGGTGGCCCCACAGCTTTGTTTTGACATTCCAGCCCTAAGGATTTACAGTAACCAAGCAGAAAACACATCCTAACATATGGGTATAAAACACGGTGACCATGAGTTGAGTTTGTTCTTTCTTAGTGGTAGTTCCAAAAAAACATTTCAGGGAATTCCTCTGTATTTCACAATCTGGCAACTGTTGTACCTTTGGCATCATCAGATTTTATTTGCTATATTACAGCTTGTACTTCTACACAACTTCCCACAGCAATAAGCATGGGTATTTGTACCTTTATAAATACAAATAAAATGTGGGGTTTTTTTAATTATATCATGCTGGAACAAAACCAATGAAGTTTCTGTAAAGTGTTTTCCAAACCTGAAATTACTGCCTGCAATTAGTGTCAGTTATCCAACAAGCTCCATTTTAAAAAAGTGAAAATAACAATTCCCTAAACCATACCCAAAACAGATGCCCTGTAATCCAGTCTGATCCCATACAGTCAAAGTATAGTTCCCGCAGTCACAGTTCGTCATGAGTTACCTGCAGAATATTCCTTAATTACTCATGAAGTAACCTACAAAGTGCTAATAAAACAGGCATGAAGCAAAAACAACATAAGCACAGTTTGACTGAAATGTGTTTAAAATAATAATAAAAAAAAAATCATCCTTTATTCTTTAAGCATGAAGACCGTGCACCTAATCACCTACTCCAGTGACTGTGGTTGGTAAGGGTGCCTTGCTGGCTGCTCCAAGTGCTCTGAGAATTGTTGAAGTTCTGCCTCAGCTCTGGCTGAGGCTCCTGTGCTCTTAGATATTGTGCAACACAGAGCACACGGTTATAACATGCAGCAGGTTTTGCTCGACAGCCGCTGGCCTTGTTGTAAGCCAATACTATCTCCTGGGGGCACGCTCTGCTGTCATTCTGCAGCTGCTGAACTGTCACTGAAGCAGCTCTTTCCTACAAGCCAGCTGTCTAATAAAAAGACTGCAACAGCCAAGAAACTCTCTCGGAATAAGCTGGGGGAATGTCAACACAAGTAAAGTTCACAGTAGTGGTCATGAGAGTAAACCTATCTTTTATTGTTGTTAAGTAGAAAAAGAGATGGGTTGCTTCTGATTTTGAATCTTTCCAGTCACAGCCTGTGTTTACATGGATGAACATGCCTACATGTCAGTGAAACCTCAGAGCACAACAGAGAAGTAACTTTTTCTTTTTCAAATGAGCTCGGAGGCCAAGGAGTGAGGATAGCAATGGAGCTACACTCGGCCACCCAAGAGCAAGCTGGGAACTCCCCGGATGCAAAACAAATAAGGGTCTCAAGAACAGGTCACCCTTGATATCCCCAAGCCAAGCTAGTTATCAATCAATGACAATGAATTTTCCGAAGGGTTGGAGGAATTCTTATGTTGTCATACCGCTGCTTTGGTGTACCCTCTGGGATGCACCTTTTGCCCTTTTGAAGTTCTGCAGGTTGTGCCAGAGTAGTAACACAATCCCTCTCCCCGTGTCAGCGCTGATTTTGAGGTCCCATAAGCAGTATTGCATCAAGTGGAACTGAGCCAGTCAGTTGTTCCCAGAGGAGCAGACGATACATGTTCACATTCCTTCTCCTCCTAACTATCCTCTCAGCACCAAGCACAAGGAACCCTTGAAATCAGGGTGCCCATTGTAAAGCTGAAGCTGTCTGACCGTGCCACAGGAAATACAAACCACCAAATACTTGCACAGAGTATCGTTCTGTCTAGACTAACCTGTAGAAATTTGAAAACAATGACACCTAAGCAAAGAGAGGTAGATCAAGAGTGCTTGGGAGTCTGACCCAAAATCCCAGTACTTCTGGTTCACCTCTGCACTACATTGCTCAATAAACCACTGGAAAAATCCCATGTAGTACACAAGGCAACAAACCAGATCCACCTAGCATGAGATACCTATTCACGATGGAGCACTCGCTGTAGAGAAGTGACCAGATAGGGAGAACAACAGTTCATGTAACAGGTATGAATTGGTCAGCTGCAGAGCCATGGCTGTAACTATTCTTTAAGATGTTACCCATGTGAACGTTCCTATTTTAGGAGGGAACTTGAATGCAAACACCTGAAACTGAGTTCACTGCCTCAGAAGTACCAGCAGGACCCTGCTGTGCGCTGTGCACAAATGTACAGAAGGGAAGGGCATGCTGCATACTGCCAGATCCCCTCAGCACCAGTGTCCCAGGAATCCTTCAAGAGGTTCAAGACTGTGAACGTGCATGCAGACAGTATGTCTCAGGGATTAACTGATTTAAGTAACAATCTTCACCTTCGAGCACTTATCTACATGGACATTCACACCATGGACCACTCCCAACAGTAAAAGTTCTACCTACCCAGTGTCTGCTAGAGATTGCTAAACTCCACCTTCAAAAGGTACCAATGGTATTATCCTCCTGAGGTTCCTCAGAGGATGAAGAAACAGAAGAACCTAAAGAACAGTCTAGTTCCGTAACTCCAGAGGAGACAGAATTTCAGGTAAAAGTCAATTGAATTCATCCTCTTAACCATGATCTAAGGGTTGCCTTGCTTCTGGTACCACTTGCAAGTAGCATACAGGGATGGGAATCTTTTGCTTCTGCATATTTCTGGTACCAAGTGGGTTAGACCTGAATTTTGCTAAACTTACGTCGTGTGTATGACATAACTCTTTCCTGAGAATGACCTAAAAAGAATATCTAAATGTTATTTTAATATTGTGAATGAGTGTTTCTTGTGATCCAACTTGTGGTTTAACTTTTTTCAGCACAGGCTGTCTGCAGATAGCTACTGAATGTGACTGACAGTTTGGATGTCGCTACTGTGGGAGCTGGAAAGCTGTGCTAACATCTAGATCATCAGAATCCCTCTTTGTCTGTCTCAAGGAGTGAGAAGGCACAACAATTATTTATCAAGAGTGGTTAAGAAAGCAGGTCTACCTCTACAGGTCTCACCAAACCATTCAGGTTCAGGGATGGAAAAGCTAGTCGTTCCAGGGCTGCATCGTTTGCTCTCAGGGCTATATCATTTTGTTCCCAGTGCTATGGGTAGTCCCATAAATGAAGGAGAAGGCAAACAGCCTGGGGACGGAGCACTTTTTTTAATCACGCTTTTTACTTTTTGGTGTTTGTACGTGAGCCCAGAGCGGCACCAGTAATGGCAAAGCGATATTCTGACAAAGCTCATCTGCCACCACTGTGTTGGGAAGTTTCAGAATTAACATGAGCGCACAGCATGACAGACGCTACTCCACTTGCTGCTGATCTTTCTGGGGACAGTTTTCTACAGCATTTATAGGACACTGTCAGGGGCCATTCTGTTTTTCCCTAAAAGGGATAATTTCTGAAAGGTGCCAACTTCAGATCCTCTGCTAAGGAGCCAGCTGCCTTCCCCAGGGAATAATCCTTGAAACTGTGTTAATGGTCCTTTTTCACTTGAGGCTTGTCTCCAAAGTACAGCACAGATTCCATGGTGCACAGGTTTCTCTGAAGCAGTTCAAACAACACACAACACCATAAGACTTGAAGTAACCTTCACAAGATAAGAGCTGTTAAAAGTTTAATGGACGAATCGATGTCATTGGAGGAAACACTAAATACTAGAAGTGAAGGCAATGCAGAGATGCAGCTGCAGAACAAGGAAAGCCTCATGCTCTGCCTTCATGTCAGCTGCAAGTCCAGCAGGAACTAAGGACATGCATGGGGCATGAACACCTTGTATCAGCATGCTCTGGGGTGTATTCCAGCTCTGAGCTTGAATATAAATACTTGAACATGAATATCTCCTATACAATATTCAGCTTATTACATCACCAGGAAGGCTAGGCACGCTTGTACACGCACATGCTTTGCAGACGAGCTCTTTATAAGCAGACAGACTTTTACAGTTCTATGATAAACACCTATGAATAGTACTGTCATTTCAAAATGATTGCCAACAGGGTTGTAGCTATCAGTACACAAAACACTCTATGTTAGTATCAGATGTTTCAAGCACAAAACCATAACCAAAGCACCTGCTGCAATAAAAAGGAAAAACTGGCTTCTATTTTAAGTGACATCATTTAAGCATGTGATATTTAGAAAAACTCTTCTTGAAATCATCTCTTCAGCTACTTACTGAAAAAAAAATGTATCTTTTATAGGAGCTATATTCTTCTTTCAAAAAATACTTATGCAACATGAATTCTTTATTCTGAAGTACACCTTTATATGTTTATCCTCCAATTATTTTATTTTTGATGGAACACATTTTGTACAATGAAAAATGGAACCACAAAACTTAAGGAAGACTTAAATACTGAAAGTGCTAAATGAGGTTTCTTACATTACTTTCTTGGCTTCATCAGTTCTCTGCTTAGCAAGGTGATGCATGTGTGCAAGAACCAGGCTAAAAGTATTACTTGGAGTTTTAGAAACCTGACCCAAGTTTGAACATGGTAGCATTACAGTTAACTGCTACTCAGACAACCATTCTAGCAATGCTAACTCATCCACTCACATCTTAGTTTACTAGGCATTAGATGGTCAAAAGATAAAACAGCAAAACAAAGACCTCAGCAAACCAGTTTTTCCAAAGTATGCAATCACATACAGACTAGTGATTAACCAGACATCCTAAGTGAAAACAACAAAAAATTGATTCAATTAGAAGACAAGAATTCCTTTTAAATATGCCACAAAAATTATTTCCCAATAAATATCAGCAAAATACCGTGAAATAAATGTTGTGAATTTAGCTACAATATACATCCTCTACATCTTAAAAGGTTTGGGAAGTATAGTATGTTTTTCAAATATCAAGTAAGAGAATAAAGGCAACCTTATTTCACCCTACCTGTTGCCATTTGCCCTTAATTGCTGGATCTCTGATTGACTGGCAATGTCTCTGGATTTGTTGGATGACACCCTGGTAATATACCATAGAAGAGTCATAATTCCCAAGAAGTGCATATTCTCTTCCTTTTTTAGCGTTATCGCAAATCTCTGCTAAATTCATCTTCACTCAGAAATCTAAAAGAGAACATAATCATCAGAAAAATTAATTTTACATACTGTAGAATAATTCAGACTGTGACACTCCAGTTTTGTTTTTTTCCCCTCATAGCTGATTGTGTCTTTCCACCTCCATCTCCCTCTTCTCTTTTTCAACCATTTAGCTCTGGAGTATCTCTTTACTAGCCTAAGGTTTGAGGCCATGAATCATAATTCTTTTACAGTGATAAAAAACACAACTTCTTTGCTGCCTTTGGCCCCAATCCTGTTAAATTAATGCAAGAAAATTAAATGCCCTGCCCACACTGAACCTAACAAGCCAAACCTTAATTCGAAGATCACCACAATATATTAGCAGCCATCAACCCATGAATCACAAATCACACGAGGCATTAAATTGCTTTTTATTCTGTTGTATTACATACGTGCCTAAATGTGCCAACCAGCATCAGGGAAGCCTGCACTTAGCACTTGCAAGAGCCCTCATCCTAATGAGATTACGATATGGTTGAATGACAGCTCTACTATAGACAAAGTTGAGAGCCTCATTCTGTTTAAATATTCTTTCAAAGTACTCCAACATCCACATGCTGACTTGGATTTTTTCATTAAATTTCACACGTCACTTTGGGATTTATGGCAGAGTTAGCAATCCAAATTTAAGATTTCTTAAAACAGTGATTCCCAAAGTACAACCTTCCCCTAGTCCCCAAAACAATTTAAGATTTACAGATTTTACTTTTTATACAAGTAGTAAATTGCAGCATGACTTTAAGGCAAACCTATAATCCAATTTTCCCCAGTAACCATTCAAGAAACCAATATTAAACCACACATTCAAAAGTAACCTATGTTGTACACCTAAGTTTGTACTTAAGGTTCAAGATCAAAGCAGTGCCTGCCCCTTTATCTGAATTCCACACGACCCAAAGTCAAGGTCCTTACTACTCAAAAAGAGCATCAGTTTCTTTTCCTTGTCCTCTGACTCAGGACGGGTGGGGTCCCTGACATTCACCCAGATATAAAACTCTGGAAATCAAAACTAAAAAAAATCACAATTCATAGCTACGCAATGCAGAGAGTTGCACTGACCAAGGGGGAGAAGGCCAGCTTGGGAGCATCGTCCACTAGCTGCATCAAGGGCTTGGCAAGACCAAGGTGGTGGACAAGAAACTGGAAAGGATGGGGAGTACAGCCAGACGGGAAGAACACAGGGCGCAGGGTCCGGTGCAGCACACAGTTCAGGCTGCACAGCTGAAGACAGGCTGTGCTGCGGGGGTGCGTGCAGTAGGAGCAGGTGGTAGCAGAGAGAAGCCAGAACAGGGAGAAATAACCTTTTACAGCCTAGCGGGTTATAAAAACGTTAGTAGTTTTTATAGAACAGACAAGACAAGATCAAGATGGCGTTAAGAAGGATGTATCTTACGCCTTTTTATTCCCTCATGCTCAGCAAAATTCAAACCTCTGACAGTAAGTTAAACATATAACCGCATGACCTTGATTCTGTCCTCCCTGAATGCTGCCTATAGCTAACACGCTCTGCCTCTCGGCGGTGCCAAACTGATGGTCCTTACCGCTGTCTGCAGGTGCACACCAGGTCTGCTCCACCACCTCTTCACTCTTGCTCCCTGTTACTAAGCCACAGAAACCCACTACCCTCACTTAAACCCACAGGCCACACAACTTCCACATGGCTGAAGAGTTTGACGGCCTGAACACGCTGCTACCCCACAACTGGCACTCCAACGAGCGCAGCAAGATGCATTGAGGCTTACCTGTCCTAACACTGTGCCACACATTTCAGCTTGCGGATCATTCCCACGGGCTGTTATAACCTTCTGGGCGGGAGCAGAACTAAGATGGAAAGGACAACAACCCTAATTTTGTTTTCTTTCAATGCTGAGGAAGGGCAGGATACCTCAGTGGAGAGCTTTAGCTCTGTGGCAATTAAGACCATTTAAAATACAGAGGATTATAACTGATAAGAAAAAGCAATGTCACTTGCATTGCACTGGAAATGGATAAAAAGATAGTAACAGAATATAGGTTACAACCCATTCAGATCTGATGAGTCAACTTATAAATGAAGAAACCACCACCTGGGGCAGAACCTGTTACCCCATCTTCAAACATATCCAGGTTAGGATCTGCTACACAACCAGCTTGTCCCTGTAAGAAAAAGTCCTCAAATCTCTGGAGGATTTCTCTGCATGTAGAAAAAAGAGAGTAACTAAAACATTTCTAAGGAATTGCTGTATTCAATTTGTAGAAATACAGAATAATAAACGGAACACATACTTACTTTAGCAGTCTCTGGTATCTGTTTAGTACAGCTAGTTTCCACCCTGCAGGCATGCGGTTAAGTCCCTTTTGCCTTAAGAGGGCTGATGCTCACGTGCCCCACTCACTCACGGGAGGAGACAATGTCCTGTCTCGGGTGGAAGCTGGGCCCACCCACGGGCAGGAGGCAAGGCACGGCAGCCATGCAGACACGTGCTCACCTCACAAGAGTGGTTAGCGCAGGGAGCTGGGAAGTGGAAGGCAGACATATTTATCTGGTTTTAAAACTGCAGGGGGAAACCAAACGAGAGCCTCCCATTTTGTCCAAGAGTTTGGGGGCTTCTGGTCTCGTGCTGGTGACACTCAAGCTTAAGCACGAGCTGGATGCCCAGTGCGTCATGCTGGAGAGCTTCTAAACATCAACAAGCAATGAAACCTGGAGCATACAAGGAAGTTGGTGGATGTACATGTACGTACCTAATGAGTGGCTGTTGTCTCCAGAGCTAGGCTGACAAAAGCCTCTGGATCTTTCTCTTGGATTCAAGCACTTCAATTTTTACTTATCACCTACCCTAGGCACCAAAGCAGATAATATATCTTGAGAAGGTGAATAGAACATCACCCATATACCTGAGACATGTTTGAAACAGCAACTGTAGACCTCAGTCCTAAATCAATGCTCCACCTGACCCCCAAGGCAGTTCTTTGAGGTCCTATTGCAAAAAGACTGGCTATTTTAAACTAATGGCTAAAAATGGTTTAAACAAATTACAAACCTTTCATGCACATCAGCAATGGTAACATTAGTGCAGAACAGCCAAAGCAAGTCAAAACAAATATGTCCAAAATTAAGGAAAATTTATTTTTAAGACGGAATTCCTTCCTGGATTGTTTTCTAGACAATCCCACTCTTCAGTGCCAGAGGTGGGGAGGAAGAGGTAGCCAGAACTAGATGAGGGCTTTTTCATGGTATGTACTTATCTTTTATTATCTGTTCTACATTATATTATAGAGTTCATACAACATTGTAAACATCCAAGAAATCAGAAATACAGAAGTCATAAATAGTGCTTTTGTTGTTTGTTCTTTGTTGTTTGGGGTTTTGTTTAAAAAATTGTTTTTCCTACCATATCACAGCTACATCTTTTAATACATAGCCAGGGACAACTGTTGTCAGTACATTTAGAACAACTTACACATTACTTGTGACACTAGCTTTTCATCCTGTCATTGCACTGTTCTTTCCTGCACTAGACCATAACAGCACCACAGCACATCAAGATATCCTTGGAGATTCCTTAGTTCACGGATCATTGACAAGAAGAGACATTACAGACATTCATGTCAGTATAGCTGCCACACATGGGGTCTTAAGCCCACTTGTTAAAAACCCTGCAGCAGCGAGGCTAAAAGGTCACAGGGGATATTAATCTCTATTCTTTGGAGCATAAGCTGAGCTGATCCCTATCTGGGGTCAGAAAAGAATTTTTCTCCCAGAACTAAAGCAACGCACAATTGAGCAAGAGCCAAAAGACAGTCTCTATGTCAACATTAAAGCATTATACATACACAAACATCTCCAAAGGTAGATACAGTCACCGTGTGAACAGTGGGCAAAGGGGGACAGCTCGTTTAGCACACTACTCCAAACTTGCGTGCAACATCAATGGGAATGCAGGACGACTGATCCCCTTCAGCCCATCTCCCACTTAACCTCACTCCGGTGCCACCAGAGGCAATAAACGCCCTCCAATCTAGACGGGGTCTGTAGCAGGGTTTTTCCTATTGCTTGACATTGAACATTCAACTCTGCAAATGCCAAAATAACAAGCATCTTTGCTATCTTTACATGTCTCTTTTATGCCTACGTGTTTTGACACAATCAGTTACACAACTGCACCCCGTTTTTTTCCACAGGCACTTGACTCTTGCACAGGATGGATGACACTCATTAAATAAGCAGTTATTAATTTTTGGTTTACTCTCATTGTCTCATCAAGCCTTATTTACTGCCTATTAATTGGACTTTTCTCCAAATCAGTTGTTAATTCCTCACAGATAGGGCTATAATATACCTGTTTTTTTCTGGACATGTGTCTTTCTCTGACCAGAATTTTACCCAGCCAGACCAAAACTTTTCCAGAACTCTCTGAGATTGCTGGACATATGGTATCACGTCAAAGCAGCTGTGCAGTATTGCTGACTGGACAGCTGAACATCTGGAAAGGCCTGGACATACACAGATGAAGACTGGTTACTAATTCTATTTCTTATTTTCTGCAAATCAGCCATGCAGTATGATGTCAGGCATCTCAAAATGCAATGTAAAAGACCCGACTAACGTCACAAGACAGACAGCCACATTGTTAGGCACCATCTTCTGAATTCCAGTGCCAGCATACGACTACACATTTTCCACTTCTACAAAATAGGGCCAGGACACTGCTGCTGCACAACCCCAGAACAGGTCTGCCACACAGAGCAAAGCAAGGAAGAGAATTCCAGTGTTAAGAGGTTTTGATTTTTTGATTTATCCATTTTCATGTGCACTCATTTCTATTACCAGTGTCTAAGCAATGAGCTGAAGTTGTTCCTTTCTCAAATTCTTCTCACTGCTTGGAAGCTTTTCCTTACAATTAATCTAAACCTGCCCTTCTTAGTTTAAGGCCATATTGTTTTTGTAAGCCAGCTTTGACCAGTTTTGACCAGCTTCCTCTCCCTCAA